TAGGCAAATTGATAAGTTAACTTTACAACTATCATGTTTATTGTCCTTAAAGTTGTTGGATATGAGTATGCGTATGGAGCTGAAGGGCAAGAGCTTTATCCCCTCAATACGGTGGCTTTAAGTCCATGCATAACTGCCAATAACTCAGAGGATAGAGATTAAAGTTATTCAGGTCTCCTACTAATATTTTGGCCCACGGCTGCATCCAATCGAGTAGTTTGTAATTCTGATCTGTCGACGGTCTCGCGGCCTGGATCGCGTATTGAACATGTCACCTTGTAAAAGTAGCAAAAAATTGAGAAAAGCTGTCTTAATCGAGAACACTAAATGCCTGCTTGATGGCGCACACCATTGAAGTTGAAGATTTAGCCATCTTGGAACATTTTATGGGAGGATTTAGGTTGCCTGGCATCCAAATACCGAGATAGTTCTTTGTTTATGCTTCTCAGAGTGGCATTCCGTTCAGATACTATGTTCGCGTATCAGGGATGGGATTTGGAGTTCCCTAACTTATAAATGTCCATTTGTCCGAGTTGAAGGACAGGAGCCGTTTGTGGGACCATTAATCTAATTCTACGAAGATTTTCCTGGAATTTGGCTTCATCGGCAGCACTGTTTATGACTTTCCAAATTTTTATATAATCCATCAACACGGTAAACTCACAGTCCAACGCCTTTACACCGCCAGTAAACAACAAAAGAACGAGGATCAGAAGAAGAAGAGGCGATCACTGGAAGAAGATCCTGACGTTTCGGATTTCCTCGGGAATCCTTAATCATAGGTAATAGTAGAACAGTCTGAGACATGCGCAGGTAAGGGGACGAGTGTCAGTCCAATCGCTGCACTTTGTGGGACCTTACTGTCTATGACTGTGCGTCTTGAGAGAACGACTAACGAGGAAATCTTGACTCGCATAAGAAGTTCGTCTCGGATGCCCATCATTCTCAACCTGTATAGGAGATGCTGGTCTGGAACGCTCTCGAGAGCGTTGTGGAAACCGACAGTTCGACCCTCGCTGCCAACGAAGTTCACCTTGAGCTTCAGCAAACAAGATGGAGGAGGGCGCAGGCGGTGTGTGCGAACATCCACCACACGCCACAAAAACACCAGCTTGCTATATAGGCTCCCGCGTGTGCAGGAGCGCCATAAAGGCCACAATAAGAAGGACTCATTTCAGTCTGACCCTTAGTTTGCAGTAAGCCAAGTAACACAACAA